CGGTTGAATTCCGGATTTTGTCTCAAACTTCATGCAGCTACTAAGAGATATATCCAATCAGATCTGCTAATCTTAATTAGTGCTTTTTTCGCCATCGCAGTCCGGAAATTAGGGTTGCAATCACAACATTGCGATTAGCTGCCCCGTGTGTACATATATCAGGGGGAAATTCCCCATCCCAGATAGCCGAGTATCACCACAGCTCCATTTGTTTCTCAAGATGCTCGTACGCCAAGTTTGTGTCGCTCTGGCGATCGTAGCTCTTTCTGGAGCCGTCCCAGCACCGGTGAAGCATGTCTTGCATGAGAAGCGAAGCGAGCATGTGGATTGGGTGAAAGGCGAGCGCATCAAGCGTGATTCCGTGTTGCCTGTGCGCATTGGTCTTACTCAGAACAATTTGGAGAAGGGTGATGAGTACCTCATGGCTGTGTATGTTGTTTTTTTATGTGTCTTGTTCTCATGGTATATCCTAATCACTAATATTTGTATAGTTCCGACCCCAGCTCTCCCAAATATGGACAATATTGGACTGCGGAGGAAGTTCATGATTTGTTTGCTCCTTCGAAGGATTCTGTGGAATCTATTCGTCGCTGGCTTGAAGCTTCTGGGATTCATGAGTCCCGGATTGTACACTCCGATAACAAGGGATGGTTGGCCTTTGATGCCTATGCGCATGAAGTGGAGGATCTGTTCAAGGCTGAGTTCTATGAACATGAGCATGCCAGCACTTCCAGCATCAAGATTGGCTGTGAGGAGTGAGTCTTCTTGCTGCTTCTAACCATCTTGGACTCTTTTAACAGTGTTAGGTACCACGTCCCTGAGCATATCCAGGCGCACATTGACTATATTACTCCGGGTGTCAAGCTCAGCCCCATCGTCAAGAAGACCACCAAGGAGAAGCGAGCGTCGCATTTGGTTCATTCCAAGGGCACACCTGTGGGAATTGATGACTCTATCAACACGGTTATCCCCGAGAAGGCGAAGTCACTTCCTGCGGATCTCCAGACATGCGGAACTAACATGACTCCGGCCTGCATCAAGGCTTTGTACAAGATCCCAAATGCCACCAAGGCAAAGAAGGGCAACTCGCTTGGTCTCTACGAGCAGGGTGACTACTTTGCCAAGTCGGATATTGATCTGTACTACAAAGCCTATGCTCCTTGGATCCCTCAGGGCACTTACCCCATCCCTGCCTTGATTGATGGTGCCAACTTCTCGGTGCCTGATTACAGCCCGCTGAATTCTGGTGAATCGGATATTGATATTGACATGGCGTAAGTACAGTTTTTTCTACTTGCTTCTCTGCTCTTTGCTAATATCGCCAGTTATGCCCTTATCTACCCCCAGTCCGTGACTCTTTACCAGGTTGATGACCAAATTTATGAACCGCAAGAGGTTGCGACCACCAACCTGTTCAACACTTTCCTTGACGCTCTCGATGGTGTATGTTATATTCTACTGGAGATTAAATGCATATTGCTAACAATTTCAGTCATACTGCACATACAGTGCCTTCGGTGAAAAGGGCGACAACCCTGATATCGACGCAGTCTATCCCAACCCCCAACCTGGTGGCTACAAGGGTAATATACAATTTCCACCAAACAGACTGATCTGATCGCTCACATAAAAAAGGCAAGCTTCAATGCGGTGTGTACAAGCCCACAAACGTCATCAGCGCCTCCTACGGACAAGCCGAAGCCGATCTCCCCGTCGCCTACACCAAGCGCCAATGCAATGAGTTCCTGAAGCTCGGCCTGCAGGGCCACTCCATCCTATTCGCCTCTGGCGACTACGGAGTCGCCTCCTTCCACGGCGACGGAAGTGCCAACGGATGCCTGGGACCCGAGGGAAAGATCTTCAACCCCCAATACCCCTCCAACTGCCCCTACGTGACCTCCGTCGGAGGCACCATGCTCTACGCGGACCAGACCGTCAACGATGCCGAGAGCGTGATGCACGCTAACCTGGGCGGCACTGCCGCCAACTTCAGCAGCTCGGGTGGCTTCTCCAACTACTTCCCGCAGCCTTTGTACCAGAGGAAAGCCGTGGAGAAGTACTTCAAGAAGGCCAAGCTGACTTACCCCTACTACTCCGAGTTCGAAGTCAACCTTAACAAGACAAAGGGTCTCTACAACCGTATTGGCCGTGCTTATCCCGATGTGTCGGCCAATGGCGCCTTGTTCCCTGCTTACACCAATGGAGCGCTGCACCACTTCTATGGCGCTAGTTTGGCATCGCCATTGTTCGCTTCGGTTCTGAATTTGGTAAGTCGGGAATTTGAACTTGTTTGTCGACTGTGCTAATGGATATGCTCTTGGTAGATCAACGAAGAACGTCTTGCCAGGGGCAAGCGCCCTGTTGGTTTCGTGAACCCTGTGCTCTACGCTCACCCGGAGGTTCTTAACGATATCACCAACGGCACCAGTGCTGGATGTGACTCGGACGGCTTCAGCGCTATTCCAGGGTGAGTGCAATTTTCCACGTTGGCTATCGGCTTTTTACTGACGTACTATACAGATGGGACCCCGTTACTGGATTGGGCACACCTAACTATCCCAAGTTGAAGAATTTGTTCTTGTCTCTGCCTTAGGTGGATAAGGGCAGAGCCTGTGTAACAGACTTGCATACCAGGTACTGATCACTTTGACATCAAGTACCAAGTTATTTCAGGCAGGCGTGACATTGGGATTTCTCTGTGATCCTCATGTCCAGACTGCCCTGCTTTTGTTATTTTTGCTCTTTATGTCTATATAAATGAGATGCTTGAGCAGATTGTTTATACAGCTCAGCGACCTAGGTATCTCCTATATATGTGTCAGAGCACTTCGATGTGTTTTCAGATATTCTCTCGAGATGTCTTTTAGATGTATACCAAGGACCAGCGACTTTTCTATATGTAGCCAGAGACTGGCCCATGTCTTATCGGGAAGTTACCTCAATTCTGAAAGAAAGTCTTATCGCATTCCTATTATTGAATTTAAAAAATAGACCAATGTACATAGGTTACTGTTCTACGGCAAGAGAATATATTCAGCCAACTTCTATCTGTGTTTTGGTCACCTAGGATATTCACGAAAGAATTGTGTGTCGCTCGTTCACTATATGCATGGCTTTAGAACATTTGAAAGAATACAAGTGATTTATCTTCTTTTCAATAACCAGAGTTGCCAGCATTTATACAATCCCAAAGTGTGATTGTATGTTTGTGCCAGGGTGTCGCAAATATCAGACTATCGTCTTATCCACCACATACCTAGAGCTAGTGCTCATTTTAGATTGAAATATAACTATTTTACTTGTCGCTCATTTGTTTTAATCAATCAAACTATTAAATTGATCTAATTTACTATTTGTAGCTTCGGTCTTTTATGGTTGGATCGAAGGGGACGGGCCGCCTCGATCTATATCGGATGGTCCGTGCGCCGGCATTTGTATAGCTTCAGATATCTATAAACCCGCGATATAAAATTGAATAAATCCCCGTTTCTGGTCGCCACAATTATCAATAGGCTGGCGGTCTCAGATAGACATCTTGGTCAGGCACCGACGATTCGATTGCAATTGACAATGGCATTCAGGCGGTAGCCAGAAAGGGCAATAAAAGCTGAGAGGGGTTCCTGCTCAGGTGCTCGCTCATGTGCCCGCTCAAGTGCTCGACCTGAGAAAAGCCAGTAAACAAACCCTCAACCATCTCCCATCCCACACAACCGTGCAAATTCTGAGCAACATGGCAATGTTTCCAATTGAACTTCCTGTGAGTCTGATCCATCCAAACTGAAGCTCAGAATGGCAACTAACAAAAGTATCCACATAGTTCAGCGATGCCCCCGTCGAGCGTGGAGCTATTCTGAGTCCCCCAGGCACCAGAATATACCAAGTCTTCCTGGCAGTCTACCACCGCGGCGAGCTCTCTCTTGGCGAATACCGCCGACGCCTAGGCTTCTCTGCTTACCACTGGGCCATCCTCCTCTTCGATGCGCCAAACAACCGCTACTACGCCTTCGACGTGACTGACGGAGCCTCGCCCGACCCAGTGTACCGACGCGACCTCAACCCCGATTACCAATGGACCTACCGCGTCAAGAACAACGTTCACCCGGCTTCCTGCGACTCCCTCCTTATCCGCATGGCAATCGGCGAGGTCAACGATGGAGTCGGCCCCGACAGCATCAAGATCCTTCTTCGTTCTGTCCCCCTGCCCATTAAGGGGGCTGAGCCTGTCCAGAACTGCGTCACCTGGATCAAGGCCGCTATTCACAAGCTTCGCTTCCATGGCTACGCCAGCGACTTGTACAACATTGACACCACCATTGACCGGGCCCTCGCTTATGCTGATCTCCGGATCATGGACCCCGTCAATTCGGTCTCTGTTATCGATCATCTCGGCAATGAGATGGTCCAGAATGTGTACCTGGAGTGAGGAGCCTTGAAGGCTTGAAGGCGAGGGTGGGATGCGCCTTGCTGTTGACTCTGCAAGCGCTGGGGCTCGCTGGAGTCCGGTTCGAGTCCGGCTCGAGTCTGTGGCCTGTGGCGCCTAAGCGGCGTCTAGGCGTTGCCGAAGTGGCGCTGGATGTCTCGTCCAGTCGTTGCTGAAGCGACGCTTAGGCGTTGCTTAGGCGTCACTTGACTTTCACCTATTCGTCAGTTCTCACGAATGAATGTTTTTCTTCTACTTTAGTGCTCTGTAATCTGTATACCTATGGTATTCATATTCACGTAGGACCTGCTATGTAGATATAGATCGCTGTCACGTGCCATGACTGCCCTACATCAAATGATAAACGGGTGTCTCCACAGGCACAAAGAGGCCAGAGATTGATCAAAGCGTCCATCTTGCCCTGGAAATTTGTTTCCCTGACTTTGGCCTTACCCACCTCGCTATCCTATACTTTTTCCGGACATGTACGTGGTTTTTTGTTCTAGAATTCACAAGCTGAAGATGATCAGAGCGCACAATCATAAATGATTAATTAAATAACCAACTAACAAAGCCCGAGCTATATCCGAGCGGCCGACAGCTCAGCTCGAATGGACCCTTGAACGAGAATCCCCATGGCAGCTCGGAACCCGCTAAGCGACCTGTATGACGGACTAGAAAAAAAAAAAAAGCCATGAGTCACGAGGCGAGGACCTCTAGTTACTCCGTACAAACTGTAGTGAATCCACACGGACCATTCCATCCGGCCAGCCCCGTGGCCATGTGCCGCATAGCCAGCAAACCTCGATCTAGCGGTGGACGAAGATCCATTCCGGCACCGGCAACGGAGTCCCGAGATCGAGTCACATGCGTCTTTTGCACGTGTCGATCACCCGTGAATGAAGGTGATAGCCGACGTGAACAAAGCCAGAGCTCTAGCGTGAACTGGCGACGTGCATTGGGGAAGGCTTGAAGCATGTTATAGAAGGTGTGCACAGTGCACGATCCACCCCTGGGACGGAACTCGGATACGGAGTTTGCCTGGGCGGATGGAGTTTTGCCGAGGATCGGAGGAATTTGGTCGCCTCCAGGTACATTACCTAATTAGGTGGGATAATTTTATGTTTGTGCACTGTTTATTAATGAAGATTGTGTGCATAAATTATGAAGTGGTTATTAAGGTGAAATTATGTGCATACAACGTATGTTATGCATATCATTATCAGCCGCAAGATACACACGTCCTAGACTTTGATTGGTGGGTATTATATCAGGTCGTAATGTGTTGTCGTCCACATCATCTCAACCCAACCATCTCGACTGCCTAGACAATTGGCAATCCACCTCAAGATCTATTTTAGCAATCTACTTCTAATAGACATCAAAGAATCATATCTCTCGGCAATAAATAACAGATAAGAAATTGCCGAAGTCCAAGTCCTTAGATGTCAAGTCCTTAGATGTCATACTATGATACTCGTCAAGCACAGTGGATCTCGGAGAATCAACAAAAAGCCGAGGATCCGCTGTCGATTATTGGCGTTTCAATAAAAGTAAAAGTATGATGACGACTATTGTATTGATCTCCGCCCGATCCATCCCCACCACATAGACCTTGAATTGAATTGTTCTGGCCTGTGGCTGGATCGACCTGTTGACCTCACCATTTCCTAATTGGGTAATTTTCAGAGTAGATTGATATTGATGGAAAATTGAGAAAAGATTGCATGATATGGTAGCCTAAGACATAAGAGCAGCCTAGAGTTAAAGTGAAACAATCAGGCCAGATCAATATGTATTGGGACCTTCGTATTCGGCTAGTCCGTAGGGCTATATCAAGACTCAAGTGGAGATTAAAAGGGAAGCTCTGCGAGCGAACCACCAGGCCAGGTGGCATTTGAGTGCTTATGTCATCAGAAAGCCGCATCCGTGGATTCGGATCTTGGCTCGGTGATATCCGCATGGATCTTACCTAAGCCGCCAAGATCGCCCTGGACAAGCCCAAGGCTGCCATCTGAAAAACAGGACCTCACCTTGGCAGGGTTGGAGTCTGTGCGATACGCCAAACACGCTATGAGGGCCAAGTATGCTGGACGGAGTAAGGAATGTACATTGTGCCTGTATCGCGAGGCGAGAAATACCTAATCTCACCCCCTCCTTGCAGGGCGCAGTGTGAGGCTTGAGCAGATTTCGTGTGGGGACCAATGAGATGCGCCAATTCTTGCCAATCATTAGTCAGGACCTCCTGTATGTTCCCCACAACACTGCTCCGTACTCCGTACCTCCTCGGACATGGATTCCTGGTCAATCACGAATTCCTGGGGAATGCTACTCAATCCTGCCAAGGCTGGGCACATGTCGTACTCGTCTAGGGGGACAGAACACAGGCGAGGGGTAGTGTTGCATAACACAGAATACGCATACGGAGCAATGTGGCTTGGCTTCCAAGGTTTCCAAGAGCCTCCATGCTAGATAGGATGTTGACACGTCGCGGGGTCAAAGCAGTTGTCAGCAATTGTCAGATCGTATCGAAGATGATATGATTTGGCGTGTGCTGCGATTAGAAATCGAATGCTCTGTAATCCAAGCTGGGTTCCAAGGATCGTGGGAACCTTGTTGTTATATCAGTAATCAACAGAGTACCTGGTAAACTAGCACCTAGCCCTAGGTCGCAGAGGTACATATAACCTGAATAGGAAATAATGGAATTAGGAATTAGGAATTAAGGAAAAGAAATTCAAATCAATTTAAACGGCAGAGGTGCGACCGAAACTCCGATCGGTTTTTTCATCCTCCGATGCGGACCAGAACGGCGAATTGGTCATCCGAGTGCCGCTTTAGATGACTCACTGTATTAACCTCACTAGTTAGTTAAGGATTAGATTTAAATTGTAAGCATTGAATACTAATCAATATTTACTGTCAATGTCTAAAGTACGTATACGTACAAAGTGTAACGTAGCGGTGAGGATCTAGAAATCCCAGGGAACCTTGGAAGCGACCAGTGCATTACTCATTTACTCGGGCTCGGCGTATACCTTTTCTCCATTTATTTCCGGTGGATCTCTCGTCATCCGTAAAGTCCGTTTCGGGTCGATCGGGTCGATCGGACTAAGAAAAAAAAGGAAAAAAGAAAAAAAGAAAACGCTGCCTTGTCAGATTAAATATAAACCTCTTGTCCAGGTGTTTCTGATATCTGAGATTCCCTTTTTAAACCCGCTACACTATCGATCTGGTCCCCCTTGGAAATCACAACTTGACCTGTCTATAATTTCATGTATACCGAACCCAATCTAACACCGACTTTCTCCCTTATATCACACCGCCTCAAAACGATCCACTGTGACTGGATGACGCCTAATTGAGTCACCAAAGAGTCATACCCAATATCCCTGAAAAAGCTCGTCTGGCCCACCATGGACTCTTCTTCTACCTCCAAATCCCCCAGCCCCTCCTCCGAATCCTCACCCTACTTCGATTCTCTCCTCCGTCGCCGTCAAGATAAGAAAATGAGCATCACTCAAACATACTACCTCGCTCATACCGCCCGGAAGAAGCTCACTCGTGAAGCTTCCCGGGCGGACCACGACCTGCGTCTGCTCGTCGGCCACGCCAACCTCCTCGACTCACTGATGTACGATCTCGCCGATGCTGAGCGTGAACAAGAACGCTGGTTCAACCAGACCGTCAGCGGAGCCACCAAGGCTTCTGCCCCTGCTCCTTCCTCTCGGCAACATGTCCAGTGGGCCTCGACCGTGGTCGAAGAGCCCGAGGAAGACTGGGATCCGGAGGATGCGTCCGATGTGGACTCTGAACTCAGCGACGACTCCGACTACGACGAGTCCGAGTTCATCATCAACACTCCTCCCCGCCGCCGCGCACCATCTCCCGTGGCTCACTTCGAGGACCTACTAGAGGAGGATGACGACGACGATGACACAGACTCAGACTTTGAGTACGACGAAGCGGATGATTTGGACGAGCTGAGCTTGACTCGCTCATCATCCCGACAATCACCACCCGAGCTCCTCGTTGACTTGGATGGAGACTCCGAGGACGAGGCGACGCCGCCTTCCCCGCTCCAGCCGACGCTGGAGTCATTTCATGAAAAGGAGCCTACTACTACGGCTATTACCTTGGCGAACTCTGATCAACCCCATCTCTTTGAGCAGGGGGGTATTTTGGTGCACAAGAGCAGACCATCATCGAGGCTTATTGATTAAGCTCGATCCCTCATATATCCACTCCGTTACGACCCCTCTCTCTGCCTTGTGTACCATCATCCAGCGATACATACGTGATACCCTGATGCTTTCTATGACGATACTTTTTGGAGCGAATTTATAATTGACATCTCATCTATTTTCTATTTCCTGGCGTTTTCTGTCGGTCGCGTTTTGGCGAATCTCCATCTTTGGACATCTCATTGTTCTCATGTCACATGGACATTTATTATATTTTTCTTACATCCCCGGCTATCTGTGATGGTGGCCCAACATCCAGCTCTCCCTGGAAAGGTCGAGACTGCATTGGATCGTTGAAACACGGGGGAAGCCATTGTGAGCCCAACCAATGTACACACAAACCAAGTGTCTTCACTTCCCCCACAAAAAAAAAATTCCAATAAAAATTCCAAAATCCTCAACATTTTCCACGTACTCCCTTAGTCTCCATATTGCGTACCTTCGGCGTAGTACAGCAAATCCCCAAAACCGGCAGAATCGCGCATGTGACCACGTCGATCCACGCCCCGAGCGCGCCGAATCCGTTTCCAGCCAAATAGAAGTGGCGGCCAGCACGCCATGATCTTCACCGCCGGATAAGAGAGATAGATCAGAGCCAAGACGTGAGATCATCGCGGCTAGGTCGGCATAGGGCGCTGCGACAGGTTGCTAGTCAGCTGAAGGATTTTACTAGCTCATCATTCAGGACGTGTTCTCCACGGGAGTGGGTTACGAAGGGGCTGGGTCTTGTCTCGTTTCTTTTTTCCATCGCTTCTTTTTGCTTCGAATGGGTCCCTTGGCTTTGTTAGAGGTAAGGCAGGGGGAGTCAGATTGGGCTAGTGGGGGGAATCTTGAGGCTGGGGGTGTTTCGGGTATGCTCCGCTGTTGGGCGCTTTTATTGGTTGGGCGCTCAATAGATCTTCTTCCCCTATCTGGCAGCACTTTCCGTTATCTGGCAGTTTACATAGTTGCTGGTAAGACCCTGATATTGAAATTAGTCAGCTTTCATATCAGGACCTTGGAAGTCCACGGGTGGCGGGAATGGGGGATATCAGGTATGGAGTATGATTGCTATGGAATTTACTTAATATAGTAGGTTGGTCCTTTCTCTTCTTATCCTAAATAAACCTGGTCTCTGTACGGAGTACGGCAAATTAGATTGATACCAATGTAGATCATTCACAGCTACATATATTGCTCACTTCAACTCTGAACCTTCATGCTTCCCAATGACATAACGAACCACTGGTCTTTGTTTGTGTTGCGACCATCCTTCTCACGTGAAACAACCTTAGCCTTGAAGAAGGAAAGAAAGCAAAAAGGTTCATGACACGTTCATGACACGCTCATAATGTCACAAGAGTCAAAACACCCAAAAGATCATCTCCAATCGTAAAACAGCTGAGAATCATACAGATTGTCAAAGCTGCCGCGATTGAGAACTTCCCTTTATAACACGTGGAAAAGGTTTCTTCGAGCTCTACTCAGTAGCTGAGGCTTTGGAAAGAAAAATTGGGCACTAAATATCGCCTCTTTGGCATCCCTATGTACAACATAGTTAACACAAATGAACCTTCAGTCATTATAGGGTTATGTCAATCACCGGACCCGTGGACACGTGCCCAGGTGGACCCAAGCTGGGATTACATAAGCACAATAAAGCTCGCGCGCAGGGCTCCCGCTATCGATAAATGATCACCGCCCTGAACCGCCCTGACGGTTGACCCCTCGCTGCATCCGTCATTCCGCGCGAGCACGATGACTCGTGGTGATCAACCTTCCTAGTTTATATTGAAAGAACTCCAAAACATGATCCCAAAACCCTGCTTGGTCCTGTGGAACCCCCAACAACCGCGCGGCCGCTGATACGTACTGGTCTTTCGTCATTTACGTCAACACACGACCCACGCAAACCAATAGACTTATTATACCCCTGTTTCTTTACATCACACCAAAGATCAACTTCTTGATGTCTGCGCCAACTTCTCCTACAGTCTCATCTGAGTCTGTAGAGCGACCTGAACTCGGAGATCATACGATCTCAGCTGGGTCTAGTCATACCCGTGGCCTCTCCAGTGAGGATAAGCCCAAGAACCAACGGAGATCGATCCAGTTTAGCATTGCAGAGGCTCAGTTGCCTAGTCGCCCGTCGAGCTTCAAGGAGAAGCGACTGTCATACGGGGATACCCCATCGAGGGAACTATTGGAGGAAAAGGAACGCGAACATAAAGCTGCCCAATTGAATCGAGGGCCGTCTCCACCGCCACCGAAGTATGCTCCCCTCAAAGACACTGAAATGGCCTGTACTAATATATGGCAGAACCTACGAGCGAGGCGTCTCTTTTGACACGTTCGACAATTTCGATGCGACCGACTTCTCCCTCACATTAAACTACAAACACAAAGGCTACCAGTGCACGCGTCGTAGCAGGACCTTTTTGTGCGGAACGGACCAGAACGACTACTCCGAGTTCGCCCTCGAATGGCTCATTGACGAGCTGGTGGATGACGGGGACGAGATCGTCTGTCTTCGGGCGGTGGAGAAGGACTCGAGCATAGCCAGCGACGCTGGAATCGAAGAGCGAAAGTACCGCGAAGAGGCCGAGAAGCTATTTGAGCAGGTGATTCGGAAGAACAGCCAGAATGAGAAGGCCATCAGCTTGGTCCTGGAACTTGCCGTGGGCAAAGTTGAGAGCATCCTCCAACGCATGGTAAGCTTCCAAGAACCCCGTTGTTGCCTCCTAACAATCTAACAATTCCTAGATCCGCATATACGAGCCTGCAATGCTTGTCGTCGGTACACGAGGACGCAACTTGAAAGGAGTGCACAGTCTGCTCCCAGGCTCCGTCTCCAAATACTGTCTCCAGCAATCCCCCATCCCGGTGATAGTCGTTCGGCCTTCAACGAAGCGCGAAAAGAAGAAGAAAAAGCGCCGTGCAGACCCAACACGACGCAGCTACAACCATATCCTGGAAATGAGCGAACAGCGCGGCAGTCAGATATTCGGCGCCAGTGCTAGCAACGATAGCAGCACTTCGAAGCTGCCAGACGAGGAGGCAGCAGTGGCAGAGGCACTCGGACTCCCTGCATCATACTCGAATACGGCCTCGCGCAGTTCTTTGTCGGTCTCAGACCGTAGTAGCGTTAGCCACGATGACTCCGACTCAACTTATCCGATTCGGAACTCACTGGATGCAGTGGTTATGGCGAGTCCGGGTGTTGCAAGTTCAGCAGATAGCTCCCAGGAGAGCGTCGTTGCTGGCAACAGTGCTCAGCCATCTCCTTTGCTAGAGAGCACCGTGGCCTCACCTACTCCACCCGATCAACTCGAGTCTCCTGTGCCAGACCCCACTCCCGAGGCTGACAAGCCAGAGGCGAACGAGCCTTCCGATTCAAGCAAGAATCCCGTGTCAATCCCGATGATTGAAGTGTCAGAGAACAACGATGAAGACGACAACAAGAAGGGATCTGAATCCTGACAGCATTGCTTGCTCCGCGGCGGCTCTTTATCCCCATTTCTCCCATTTCGCTCGTGTTCGCGCCATACATTACATCATCGCGCTTTCTCAGATACCCACGATGCATACGAACCATCCCTTTCCACTCATGCTACTTCTAGCGCCTCTCTCCCTCGAACAGAATAATGAACGTCAGGAACCACGTCAATTCGCGACTGGACTGACAGTTATACCTCAGCTCAATACCCTCATCACTTATGGTTTTTAAGATATGTTCCGACCTGGTTAGACAGGGCACATGTTCTGGCCATGTGTATTTCTCTCCCTCTTGTGCCTACAGCCTGAATTCGCTAAATGGATGCATAGACATTGATTGCTTAATCCCATAGATGTGCAGATCTCCTGTAAACTACCTGTGTACTCGTAGTCAATATTCATACTATACACTTTGTTCACTGTGGATATTCTATTGCCTGCGGATAGTTCTTCTTCTTATTATTCTACAATACCAACACGGGAGAATTGTTTATCAAAAGATTTAAAAACACTACTAATATAAGCCACCGACTATTCTCGTCGTAGTTTACCCAAGTAAGTCCAGGCACCGATCTATGCTATATTGTTAGTTGAGATTTCCAAGTCTATAGTCATGCCTAGTACATAACTCTACGAGTATCTCAATAGTCATAAAGGAAAGATTAGAAGTAGCCAGAAGGCGAAGCATTCATTCAATCACACTAAAGTTGAGTGGAGCTCCGGGTATTGGGAAAAAAAGGACGAGGACAAGGACGAGCAAAGTGCAAGTGCAAGAGCAAGAACAAGAGCGAAGAGAATATGCAAAGCACAAGAAAGGAGGAAGAGGAAAAGAGAGCAACACAGCAACCCCTTCATCACTGTCATCATCAATCTCTCGTCAGTTCCCACCCCTACGCGAGTTGCATATGGGGAAAAAAAGAAAGACAAGAATTATGAAATAGAAGTGATTGAGCAAGTCCAATTGCAAAGCAAAGTCCTACTCTCAAGCACAGCTCCACGGACCACACCCATCTCTCGATTCAATGGAAAGAAAAGAAGGAGAAAGCAAGAATAAGAAACAAGAATAAGAATTGAAAAAGATGTCAAGATTGTACACTATGAATTGGGTCTCTTTTTCGAAAGAAGTTCAAAAAAGTAAAAACCAGCCGTGATAAAGCGTGAAAAAACAAGTCCTAGGGGATAACCGACCAGTCGGAAAATGCAAAGCGAGGACTGTGACCGATTAAGAACAAAGGCGCATGGCTTCCCTCACGGGGAAAGAACAAGATGGACATGACGAAAATGAGGAAATCTTTTTGTGAACCAAGAAAATGGAAAGCGTTGATCATTAACTCCTAAGGACTCTCTATGCTGTGGATTCTCCGTCCTTGACAGATAGGGTTTTTGAGGGACGACGCTCCGCTGCCGCGGGCTGCGACTTAGTGAGCATCGGGGATGCAGGGTTTGACGGTGGCGAGGTAGCCATGTTATCCCGATCTTCAAGGGCAGCAAGCGCACTGGAAAGGGTATTAGCATGAGGATTTTTGCAGGAAAGGGTTAGGGGTTGCATACCTGAAAGCATTCATAGAAGAGTTGTCTTCCTTCTTGCTGCCGCTAGTGCCGTTGCGGCTGCTGGCAGCGCTGTCGTCACTACCACGGACCAGGCTACCACCGGGACCGAGGTTCTTGCGGCCGCTGTTGGTACGCGAGCCGAGTAGGCTGGATGGACCGAATGACATAGGCTGGTTGGTGTTGCGAGTCGAACGCAGGCGGCGGAGATCGTCGGTGCCAACCTTGCTAGAGGCATAATCGGGAGGAGGGGCTTGGTTTCCGTATCCGAAACCGCGGGCGTCACCGCGACCCATGGGGATGCGGCCACCGCCTCCACGGTTGCTGGACTGGCGCTGGCGCTCAGCTTCAGCAGCTTGCTGTGCACGGGCAGCCTGTTTCAAGAGTTAGTGAGAGACATTGGAACATAGCAATAAAGGTTACTTACAGCCTCACGGATCTCAACAATGGTCTGAGGACCCTTATCGGCATCCTTAGAGTTCCAGCGTGCGGCACGCAGATCAATAATATCCTAAGAACCATGTTAGTCTTCTATTTCCCCCTCACAAGACGAAGAGATAGAGATAAACTTACTAGAAGCATGAAACGAAGACGGCTGGGCAGATTAGGTGTCTCAACCATCAGGTTGATGCGAGTAAAGTAGGCGTCCATCATGGCAGGACCCTTCTCAGAGGCATCGAGGCTGGCACCGATGGTGCGCAGCAGACTGGTCAAACTCTCGACCTCGGCTTCATCGGGAATACCCTCATAGTCCACAAGCTTCTTAACACACTCGTGCATGATACGCTCTGTGAGCATGCCAAGCTTGTAAAGTTCACCAATGAACTTGACAAGACCAAGACCACGACGCTTAGCGGCGGCAGCGATGTAGTATTCTTCAGACATCATTGCAACCTGTGGTCGGTTATTAGTATACGGGAAAAATGACGTTGAGATATAGATCGACATACCTCTTCAGTAGTGCCCTCAGGCTTATTAGGCAGGTTAGTCTTCCAGCCACGCTCGAACTCTTCTTGGCAGCGGTTGAGCAGGTACTTGCGGAACAAACTTCCACCAGCAACAACTGTGCCATTTCTGTCACGAATGTTCTCATCCTTAATTTCTGGGCTCATGCTCTCCAGCATGCTCTTACAGAACTTGGCGTACATGGGAGCCCAGTGAGCCTCATCAGTAGCCTTCTCAAATGTGAGTTGGATGACCTGGCGCAGGGTGCGGCCGTCGGACTCATCCTTGGACTGGGAAACAATCTCGAGGATCTGACCAGAGATACGGTCAAACTTCTCCGGGGTCATCTTGTTAAGAGCAGCCTTGACCTTGCGCTGCACGACATCCGGTGCCAAGTAGCCGTCACCACCAGGGGCGGGACCAGCGCCAGCGTTTTGGCCAACACTGCGAGGCTTCCAGCCAGTCGCGGTGGTTTGAATCGCCTTCAGATCCATGCCAGCGGTAAGAGGCATCGATTTGTTTTGTGCCTCATCCTGTCGGCCGCCGTGCTTATTCTTATTCTGTCGGCTGTCGTTGCGGGGACCCTTGCTTGAGTTGCCACGAGGAGGAACACCGGCAGAGTTTTGGCGAATGTTTCCAATAGCCATGCTACCAGGACCACCGCCCCGTCCGAATGGAAAGGCGGACGCACTGCGGCCGGTCAGTGATCCGCTGCCCATAGCGGGCATCTGGCCAGGTCGGCCTGTGTTGAAGTTGCCCATGACGGGGAAGGTAGTAGGACCCATGGTGCCGTTGCGAGAGGGACCGCGGCTACCTAAGCCAGGAGTGCGGGCAGACTGGGATCCAGATGGGTCACCGACTGTGTCCCGCAGACGGGCGTCCCAGTCTAAGGAAATCTTGTCCTTAAAGGCGGCCTGGAATTGCAGCAGGAAGTCCCGGTCGTAGTGGAACTTGCGGCCTTCGGGCGCAGCAGCGTTCATAGCGGCGTTGGGAGGGGTGATGGATGAGGGGTAAGTGATCTTGCTGAGGTCTTTCAGGAACTTGGCATTCTGCAAAGACTTCATGCCTGCGGTTGCTTGCAGGGGCTCGGTGGGCTTGGGGGTATCAAGCTTGAGACCAACGGGCTTCTTAGGAATAGCACTGGCAGGCTTGGCTGGCGGGCCCATGTCGGACGAAACAGGAGTGGCAGCACCGCTGTCGGCAGGCGTAGAAGACTCAGTGGCAGTGTAGCCACCCTTCTTGAGCGAGGCAAACGCATCCTTGGTGTCTTCCTTGGCGGCCGCTTCACCACCGACACGGGCGGCGTTCTCGCGGGCAACCTCGCGAGCCTCAGCCTCAGCTTCGGCCTTCTTCATGTTGGCCTCGTAGTTCTCAAGTTCCTCACGCTCCTTGCGTTCGGCTTCTTCCTTTTTAGCTTGCTTTGCGCGGTTGTAGTCTTCCTCGGCGGCGCGCTCCTTGGCTTCAATCTCGGCCATTTCACGCTCGATGGCATCAAAGTCGATCTCATCATCATCTGCAGGGGCAGGGGCAGGGGCAGGGGCAGGGGCAGGAGCAGGAGCAGGAGCAGGAGCAGGAGCCTTCTTGGGCTCTTCAGCAGGGGCAGCAGCCTTTGATTCTGTAGCAGCCTCCACCTTCTTGGGTTCCTCGACGGGAGCGGCCTTATCTTTAATGCTAAGATCTTCAATAGCAGCACGGGCAGATTCAGTATCATCCTTCTTGGCAGCAGCCGGCGCAGCTTCAGCGGTCTTGCGAGAAGCCTCATCAGCCAGACGCTGCTTTTGAGCAGCTTCGTCCTGCTGGATCTTCAGGCGAACGGCATCCTTCAACTCTTGCTTCTTCTCTTCATCGGTCTTCACCTTGTTCTCGGTACGAGTGTGCTCAGACGCGCTGCCAGTGCGAGGAGGGGGGTGGATGTAGGAGGAGTGAGCTTCACGGGCGAAGGGGTGGCACGAGCAGGGGAGGCGGGGTTCTTTTCGAAGGTCTTGACTGAGCCGCTGTTAGGGTCCTTGATGATGATTGGGCTCTTCTTCGCCGAGGGAATAATGAAGTGAGGCTTGGGAGCGGGGCTGTTGGATGCGCGGCTGCCAGTGTGGGTGTGGCCGGCGACAGCAGGGCCAGTGGCTGCCGGTCCCTGACCGAGGCTCGAACCTGGACGATCGGTAGATACTTGAGAGGGGGTACGCGAAAGTGGCGTCGCCTGAGGCATGGGGTTAGGGAACTGCTGTCCCATGTACTGAGGATTGTAGGGCATGCCGGCAGTACGAGGTTGGGGGGACGGGGGTCCCATGTAGTAACCACCATTCGGGTTGTAGTAACCAGCGTAGTTGGGATCGTATGTGTTGGGGAATGACTGTTGAAATTTGACCAATGTTAGAATCTGTTCGAACTGGCCACTTTCAGGCGCAAGGTCCACGGGGCACTCGGGAGAGTATGTAGGGTTGTCTTTGCGCCTCCAAGAGCTGGAAAGGTTCCTTTGGGGACGACGCCAGGGGTCCTGGGAAGAACGAGAAGGGGGGGATCTCACAGCTTGGGGGCCCATGTGTTGACCGTAACCGTACGGTTGCTGAGGCATCTGGGGGTGTGCCATCGGAACCTGGTTCATCTGGGGAGTGGTAGGGTTAACATTGGCCAAGGCAGGGCTGCGGTTGGCTTGGTGAGGCGAGTTCGGGTAGGGGGCCAAAGGACGGGCCTGGTTCGAGCCGTGAAACTGGGGACCCATGTTAGGACCGCCTCGCGGCTGATTGGGGGTCTGTCGGAAACCGGGGTTAGGGGAGTAGGGCATCTGCTGTCCCTGGTAGCCGGGCTGGGAGTATCCGCGACCGCGACCGCCTTGGTAGCTTGAGCGGTTGCCCATGTGGTTGCTCATATCGCTGTGGGTGGATTGGGAGGACTCGCGACGCAAGTGCTGAGCACCGTGTGCCTGTGAAATCGAACACATCTATGTGAGCAAAACCAGGTCGAAAACACGATAACAAGGACTTGAAAAGGTCGCGCACGGGTGGTGTCACGCTGTGTACACCGGGATCACTCAAGAGGGAAGGAGTAGAGACACTTACGTTAGCATCAGCCGATTCTCCGAAGCTACCGAAGTTGGGCACATTTCCTTGTGCCTGGTAAGTCGATGGAGGTGGGCGGCCGCCGCTGGATGCGGGCTGGGGAATAGGCGAGGGAGAAGTCTGAGGAGACGTAATCCGCGGGTTTGTGGAAGGAGCACCAAGTCCAGCTTGCTGGTTGGAGGCGGGCACAGCGGGAGCACCCATGTTGGGAGAACTCTGCTGGAATCCGAACTGAAGGCTGTTGGGCCGACTGGCCGGGCCACCGCCGTTGGGCATGTAGCCGGAGGTCCCGCTCGAGGTGATGGTCACAGATGGCTTGCGAGAGTGGTCCCCGGAGGAAGCAGCCGAAGCAGAGGGGGCTCCATTGACGATGGTCACGCCAGAAGAGGCAGACTGTTGAGATTGCTTTTGCATGGGTTTGCCGTTCACAGATACGGAGCTCGACTGCCCATGTTGCGCTGAACCGCCCACGGTGACGGGTACGGCGGTTGAGTCCGTCGCGGACTTCTTAGTTGCGTTGGCGTAAGATCTGGCTGGCGCCTGGGCAGCCAGGGGGTAGAGGATGCGGGCTGGGTCGAAGCGACGGGAGTAGCGGTGCTTTGTCCTTGGTTGCCCGACTGAGGAGGGTTCGAGCTCATTAGACAGGTTGTACGTCTAAACGCGCGGAGAGGGCGAAAAGGGCGATGGAGGAAGGTGAGAGAGAGAAAAAAAGACGAGGTGATGTCAGTACGCGGAGGCGTAACAAGGCCACATCCAAACCTAGCTGCAGGTTGTTAAAGGGATGAAACTTGATTTGAAATAAGGAAAGCGAGTTTCCAGTGACACAGAAGACCAGGTACGCAGCAAGAGCAGCGTTTTGGTCGACAGTGTTATGTGTTAAAGGGTTATTTCAAAGGGTAGAAGGTTGGTGGGAGGGAAAAAATTCACGGGAAAAAAATATTCGGGTTTGTGGAAAACGAAAGGGCAGAACGAGAGTGCGTCCCGGCTCGACCAACGTACCTTTGGATGTGAATGTGTTTTATGGGATGGATTCTCGCGAGAATCTCTAGAAAAAAAGGTCTTGATGAAATGTTCAAAAGAAAAGTGAGAGCAAAGTGGAAAAGGTCGAGAATAACGTCTACAACGCCACCCACATGTTACAAAGAGATCTACATGGGTTAGTACATGAGTATAGATAGTATCTATACGGCCTCAACGCATATCGTATGGGCTATAGGGTTCAATACTAGACATGACTCTTCTCGTTAATGACTCTGAGTGTTTCTTTATTCCTCTAGACCCTCTACATGCCCCCATCAGCCCCATTTGCCCCATTTGCCACTATTGACCCATACTATATCTACATCGACGAAGTACATCTACATCGAACTATACAAGGTACTTTAGATACATAACGTACTATGCTCTGTATATCTCGCAGATCCTATTAGATCTCCTATCTTATTCCTATGCACCCCTGACTCAACACACCAAGCATAGGGATATATCAAATACTTCCCCGTCTCCCCGTCCCCGTCCTTGCAGTGCATCTGCGTGAACACTTCCATGCAAGGCTATTCCTCCGACCGGAGGGATTCGGCTTGACATCCTCGGCTGTTCTTAGTGATATTTGAGCTTTCAATTCAAGTTTCAATTCAACTATTTTTTAGCAAGGCAGAAAACAACCCGGAAACATCCATCATGTCTCTCATCCCTATCTCTCAGCAAGAGCAAAGTGTTCAAGTTCTATTTTGGTTTTCTTATTCTATCTGGACCCCTGTTGAAAAGCGGGACATTCTCCGCGGTCAGACTCTCAAGATCGGTCGTGCCCGGTTGTGCGCGATCGGGCAATCTCATCGACAGCCCGTGCAGCGAAGTCAGTACCAGATGAGCCCGAGGAATCTTGCTCGTTGCCGAACCAACCAGATGTCCATCCACTAGTCTTTTGTTCCGGGCGACTTCCTAGATCCACATCAACAACCTCGAAGGAGTTTTCGCTGCGATTCTTGCGCAACGGCACGCCATAGGCAAGGTCATCAGCCTCGAGCCCACCACGAGGAGTGCTCTGCTCCTCTTGTGTTAGAGTTGACCGAAGGTAATCTAGCACCTCTCGCTGCGAGGAAATAAATTGAGCCTTCTCGGTTCCAGACATAGACTGCAGCTGGCGCTGGAGGAGAGTGCCACTGGCGGAAAGTTCCTCGTCCCGCACTTCCCGAGACTTGCCAGTGGTAACTGAGCCCACAGCCGCACTGAAAAGAGAGTACCAATCAGTTGTGTTGGGGGGCGCCCCAGCTCCTCCTGCGACGGGGATGTTGAACCGCGATAGTAGCGACTGCGCGTAGGAAGCGGCACCTGGCTGAGGGGGTGTCGGGCGCTGCGGAGGTAGACCCAGGACTCTCTGCCGGACAAAGTCGATGGCTTTGTAGAAGTATTGAAGACCCAGTGCCTTGGCCCGCTCATGGGTGCGGCCGATCATCTCTTCGATCCCCCGCTCATGGTGTGTCAAGAACGGATCCACGTAGTCTTGGTACAGTAAGCGAGCCCCTTGCGTCTGGGGAAGAACGAGATAAGACATGAAACCGAGGCGGATCCAGCTGTAGAATGGGAACCTAGATAATTGAGTCATTAGCTTGTGATCTTGAGCCGGAGCGGGGTTGAACTATACCATCCGATGATAAAAAATGTCCAGGATTCAGCCAGCAGAATGACTGAAAGCACCACCCAGTACATCAGCCATGGTGCGAGTTGCGAGGGGTCAGAGGAACGGAGAGCCTTGTAGGAAGCAAAGACGGGGAAGAGGATCGTGATGACGGAGCTATCAGATAGCTATGCGTTAGCTTACGGATCTCTTCTTTTCGCGGTATATGCTTTGAACTTACGACAATAAGTCCGCAAAGATTCCAAACATGATGAAGCCTGGGTGAATTGAAGATGTGAAAAAAGAAAGTCACTGGGGATATTTTAAGTCTTCAGCCCCGCTGATCTGAGACTAACGCCTGAAGTCGGACAAAAAAGAGGAGAATAAGGCAACAAAGATAATTTAGGGGTATCCGATGCTTGAAAGCAGAAATCAAAGAATAAGAACTATATTAATAGTACGCGTAAATCACTTCACGATAACTCCATGACAGACGTGACCGCTTGCATTTCCCCAAGAATCAACGGATGTGTGTTGACGTCACGCGAAACACTTTTTGCTTCTGAGGTGCCATAATAATTCAGTCATTCATATGTTTTGAGACAATATATATCTTGCCATATTTGAGGGCTTTTTAAGACTCCAAGACTTAGGTGCATACGCTACACGAGGGACAAGCCCGAGGTACAAGCAACGAGTGGCCCAATCACCCGAGATGCCTTAGTTCCTACGTGTTATGGCCCGTTCCTCTTTCTCTTCCAGGATTTCCTGTTTCGCTAGAACCTTTGCTTCTACTCCATCTTATACACACCGTTGTTAAATTCGTGAATCCTCTTATTCCCCGCCAGTTCAACTAGGACCTCGGAAACTCAAACTATGTGTATCGCATTAATCTCAACTTCCCACCCGGAATACTCGTTGATCATAATCAACAACAGAGATGTAAGTATTGCCACTCTAAGCGGTGAACCACAAGCTTACCATATCTAGGAATTCCTCCATCGTCCAACATCTTCGCCAGGCTGGTGGCTAGGGCCATCCTCACATGTCCTCGGCTCACGAGACCTAGCCCGACCTACACAAGGCACCTGGATGGGTGTCACCAGGCAGGGAAAGGTAGCAGTTCTTACCAACTACCGTGAGGACTCCACCAGCGCAGCCATCGGAATCTACAGCCGGGGAGCCATCGTCAACAACTGGTTGATCGGGTCCACCGACAAGCGGGAGGATACCGAAGAGTTTGTGCAAAGCATCGTGGCCAACCCAGAAGTAAGACAGGTGGGGGGGTTCAGTCTGGTGTGTGGACGTATCAACGAGCCCTTGGCCATTGTCTCCAACCGTTCCACGGACATGGATCAGATCACCTGGGTGGCAACTGAGAAGAACCAGACACGTGGGCTCAGCAACACAAGCTTTGATGACAGAACCTGGCCCAAGATTATTAATGGGGAGCAGTTGATGGAGGCTGCTATTAATGAGCATGTGCAAAAGGGAGACGCGGAGGACGAGGAGGCATTGATTGATCGTCTGCTGCAGGTCCTCAGCACTGATGGCCTGCCACGACTGCCAGAGAAGGAGGCCACAATTGAGACATACATTCAACATCTGCACAAGACCATCTTCGTTCCGCGCATCGGTACTCCAAATGATCCTGATCAAGATGCAGAGGATATCGCTGCAGCGCAGGTAGAGGATGAGATCTACACCCCGGCAAATGGGGCCCCGAACCAGAGGTTTACCTGTGGATCATATGGGACACAGAAACAAACTGTTCTCCTGGCACGACCGGATGGACGGGTGCGATATTTTGAAAGAACGCTGTATGACAATGACGCGAAGCCTGTGCCGATCGGTCAAGGTGATTATTCATTTGAATTTAACATCACAGAGTAGCTTCGTCTAAGCTTGGGGACATGCTTAGACCTCATAACTCATTGGTAATCACTTAACTCATTAACTAATGGATGCAATTCAGTCCGAGCCTACCATTTCACGTGACAAGCCACCTGTAGCCATCCAATCAAAACCTGTAAGATGCTTTGACAAAATAAGTAGGCGGTAGTTTTTTGCCCAAAATGGAGGTTATAATAAACTTTAAGGATAACTTTTCGCCCTTCGGGGCATATGGTCAAATGAAAATATACAGAGAAGATTAGCATGGCCCCTGCACTAAGGATGACACGCTCAATCAAAGAGAAGCTACCTATTTTTTTTTTCTTTTACAGATCCTTTATTAGGGCTACAGGGTGCGCGCGTTTCTACCCTTCTCTCGTAGAATTACGCTTTTGGGAAGTCACGTGTCCACATGTTGGTGTTCGAATCCCATGTAACGCGAACATTTCGAATCGTAGGGCTCCTCTTGATAGCCTCTGACTTTGTATCCTCTCGTTTTATAGGAGAGGGGAAAAAAGATAGCAGTCAAATAGAGCATTAAAGATCAATACATTGTCCCTGCCTTTGTATACATTGACTACTTTATATGTTGTTTCTACTGACATATTTGGGACCCTTTTTTGCCTGAGATACGTACACGGAGATAAAATGGTACAATTCACTCGATTTCTATCAATTGGATCGAAGTATGAAACGTTCTCGACGATCGATCTCATCCCAACATGTACAGTTGGTTTTCGCCAAGGGTACCCCTTATATACTGCCGGCACTGCTGGTCACAAAACAGCATAACTCCTGTAACTTTCCTGATGAATTAGAAAACAAATTGGAACATCAGGTCTAATTTATTTGCATTCAAGTCCAAACCATAAGAAATTAGGGGCGGCTGCAAAGTACGGTTGAAAAGCTAGTTATAGTACTATATGACGACGGTTATATTAGCATCGACAGGAGTGAGCAGACAACACAACATTACAACACCAACATATCTTGTCCGGGTAGTCGTGTCCGCGACTACCGAAATGTGGATAGTCTCGCTTCGATATATGAGCTTCGCCTCCGCTAAGGAGCTTCCGGGCAAATTATGCCGGGGATCTCAGGGTCAACCCAAATTACCACATGGTGTCTGTTTCATCTTGAGGCAGCCCTCATTTTATCCGGCGCCTTATTTTCCGCCACTACGCTCAAGGCGGGTTAGCTAATCCGGAAGTGTATCAGAACTGTCTCGTTTTAATTGCACTCTCTTTCGAGGGGGAGACGAGTCTAAGCGAAATGGAAGCCGATCCGACTTTGTGCCCTTTAGTGATCCCGCCTCCACATACTCCGTGCAATCCTATGCGGTTAGGCGTTGACTGCCAATTCCCGGCAGATTGGGTTGATTATGGATAACATCGAAATGCCTTATGGATCGCTCCTGGTCCCTTGTGCTCGAACTAGTGGCTTCTGAGAAATTATCCGGCCACTTTGGTGGAGAGACCCGCCGTTCAGAACAGACATCTCCTGCAGCCCTCAGGGTTAGCGCTTCCGGTATCACGGTCTAATTAAGCCGAAGAATGAATCCACTCTAGAATGCCTGTTAGTATCTTTGTACACAAAGCGCCATTTGACGCCCGAGCAGGTTATGGCTATATAGCAGACGACCCCCACGAGTTTCACCCTTGCTTCGTGCAGTACATTCATTATCTTTCATTCAAGCTTCAAGACTGGTCTCTTGATTTTCATTCTTTTACTTATATTCACATTCTTTACCGTCAAACTCGACACTCACTCTCTTTTACATTTCCCAATCTACAATGAAGTTCACTAACATTGTCCTGGCTGCCAGCGCCGCAACTGTGGCCTGCGCATATCCCCGAACAAGAGACGTTGTTCCTACCAAGCAGAGCGCTAATATCAAGAAGCGCGCCAATGGATTCACTTGGGTCGGCGTGAACGAGTCTGGTGCCGAATTTGCCTCGGGCAGCATCCCCGGTACTCTGAACACAGACTACACCTGGCCCAAGACTGATCAGATTCAGATCCTGAGAGATGCGGGCATGAACATCTTCCGTGTGCCCTTCTTGATGGAGCGTCTGGTGCCATCCAGCATGACCGGCACTGCGGATGCTACTTACCTGGCCGCCCTCAAGTCCGTACGTGATATGTCTGTCGTGGTTGATTCTCTTCCAGATCTAACAGTTCTATTATGTAGACTGTCCAGTTCATTACCGACAGCGGTGCTTATGCCATCATTGATCCCCACAACTACGGAAGATAGTAAGTGTATAAACTAGAACTACACACGTGATGTATGATACTAATGCCCCGTCTACAGCTCTGGCAATATCATCACCTCGACCTCTGATTTCGGTGCCTTCTGGAAGACCGTTGCTGCTGAGTTCGCCACCAACGAGAAGGTCATCTTCGACACCAGTAAGTCACCTATAGGCAAACCTATACAATGAAAATCATCTACTAATATCATCTAGACAACGAGTACCACGGCCTTGACCAGACTCTCGTCCTGGACCTGAACCAGGCCGCTATTAACGCTATCCGTGCCGCTGGTGCCACCAGCCAGTACATCTTCGTTGAAGGTAACGCATGGAGCGGCGCCTATTCCTGGGTCGCCACCAACGACAACCTGAAGGCCCTTACCGACTCCGCGGACAAGATCGTCTACGAGATGCACCAGTACCTGGACAGCGACAGCTCCGGTACCTCCGAGACCTGTGTCAGCACCACCATCGGTAAGGAGCGTCTCGAGTCCGCCACCACCTGGTTGCAGGACAACAACAAGAAGGGCTTCATCGGCGAGTTCGCCGGTGGCGTCAACAGCGACTGCGAGACTGCCGTCGAGGGCATGCTATCCTACATGTCCGACAACAGCGACGTCTGGGTCGGCGCCTCGTGGTGGTCTGCCGGTCCCTGGTGGGGCTCTTACATGTACAACTTGGAGCCCAGCAATGGCCCTGCTTACGCGACTTACCTGCCCATCCTCGAGAAGTACTTCGTGGACGGCACTGCCTCAGCCGTGACCTCCTCGTCTTCCTCTTCTTCATCCACCTCCACCACCGCTGCCCAGACATCCTCTACCAAGACCGCCGCTCAGACATCCGCCACTACCACTGCGCAGACATCCACATCCACCAAGAACGCCGTTCAGACATCCACCACCACCGCTGCCCAGACATCCAGCACCACTACCGCTGCCGCCCAGGTCCCCACCTCGGTGACCTCGTCTTCCTCGACCACCACAGCTCCCGCAGCCTCAGCTCCCACGACCACCACCACAGTTGTCGTCCCGTCCACCCTCGTCACCCTCACCTCCACCGTGACCTCGACCACCACCGCCGCCACCTCCACCACGACCGCTACGGCATATGCTCAGGTACCTACCAGCGGCTCCTCTACTGTGAACATTGCTAAGCACTATTACCAGTGCGGTGGCATCAACTGGACCGGCGCCACTGCTTGCGAGAGCGGCACCACTTGCGTCAAGCAGAACCCTTACTACTCCCAGTGTCTTTAAGGGATGATCTCGTGTGGATCAAGCCAAAAGGGGAGAGTTTTTTGACTGGTGGCTTGGTGTAAGCGTTTTCTTGCGGGGTTGACTGTTATTCATACTCCATGTATTTTATTACATTACTTTCTTCTCGATTTACTTCGATCTTATTATTTAAATTCAATTCTGATGTGTTGCAATACTGCGTGTGTTCTTTCTATACCTAGGTAGGTATAGAACCTGCTTTACTTGCAGTCAGTGCTAAGATCAACCTTGCATCTGATTTGATGAACTTCCCAGTGCCTATTGTTTCCTCATATTACACGCAACAGGAAACACAATTCAAATAATAAAAACTATATTCATAAGTAGGCAAATATGTCATTCTCGTCATATAGGCACAAACCTCTCAGAGTAACTCAGCCAGTGTGGAAGAAACAGATACAGATTAACGTATTGAAGCCGATCTCAGTCTTAGCCGGCAAAACCCAACTAGACCAAATAACCGCAGAAAGAAAACACAAGCATCATCAACCATCCCTAGAAACGAAGAAAAGAAAAATACCATAGGGACAGATAAAAAGGCAACCAACCAACATCCCCTCAAGCATCCTCAGCCTGGTGCAAGCGCACAGTAACCAGATCAGCAGGCGCACTAGTCAAAGTAAGACCATAGCGAATCTTCTGATCGGGATAAACATCCTCAATACGATCAAAGCGCTGCAAAAGCCTGACAATAACATACCCAGCCTCAGTCAGCGCAAACTGCTGCCCAATACAGATCCGCGGCCCACCATTGAACGGGATATACTCCCACCCAGGCCGGCGGCTTACCCAGCGATCAGGCTTGAACTCGTCGGCGTCGGGGCCCCACAGGTCCTTACGGCGCTGCATAACATGCGTCGAGTAGATCACCGACTGGCCCTTGCGGATGTAGACGGGGTCCTGGCCGTCCGGCCCGCCGCCGCGCGGGATGGTCGTGTCGCGGACTGCGTTGCGGCGGTTGAAGGGGACGACGGGGTACAGGCGTAGCACTTCGTTCATCACGTGCTGCAGGTACTGGCAGGATTTCAGGTTGGCGAAGGTGATGCTCTGGGGGTTGGAGTAGGTGCCGAAGTTGGAGATAATGGTTTCGCGGAGTTTGGAGAAGACCTCTGGGTGGTGGGCTAGCATGAGGGTTGTCCAGCTTAGGAGGGAGGCGGTTGTGTCGCGGCCGGCGAGGAGGATGTTAAGGAGTTGGGAGCGGAGCTCGATTGGATCGCGGGTTACTTCTAGGAGGGCTTCGAGGAAGACGTAGGAGGATTTCTCGGGGGAGGCGTTCTTTTCGGCTTGGGAGGCTGCCAGGGCGTTTGAGACGACTTTGTCGACGAAGGAGTGCACTTGCTTGTCGGAGAACCTGGTTTCTTTGTTCTCGGCGAGGAAGGCAAGTTTCTCGAAGCGGCTTCGCTGCGCGCAGACCCATTGGGATTTGTCGAAGTAGCTGGCGAAGGAGTCTTCGGGTCTGTTCAGGCCGTTCAGAGCGCCGAGCTGGCTCTCGACGCTTTCGCCGAACAGGAATTCTGTGGCGGAGTCGATGGTCAGGCGGAAGAATATAGTCTGGATGTCGGTTGTGGCGGTCCATCCGTTGGCCGCGACGGGCAGAGCCTGCATGGCTTTTTGCACATGCTCCTCTTCCAAGTCCAATTGACTGATCTGCTCGCGGGTGAATTGAGGTCGGAGTAGGCTACGGGATCGGCTCCATTCTTCTCCATCGGCGGTGAACTATAAACAGTTAGTACGGGTTGTAGATAGGATGAATAAGGTATAGCAGGTACTCACAATACCACTTCCTAGTAGCGGATGCAAGCTAACTCGACGGACAGAACCAAGCTCGAAGTCCTTGAACTGTGTAGCCAGGAGAGCCTGGATGTTCTTAGGGTCGATAGTAAAGATGTGGGTGCGACCGAGGTTGCAGATGGAGAATGTAGTGACAGAGCGTTTCTCCTGATCACTAATGATCTTGACCCGCTCCTCGAATAACTGAGGTACTACTTTGGCCTTGTCTGCTTCCAGGGACTGTTTGAGGGTTTCGATTCCAAAAGGATCTTTAGACGGGAACATTGGCACACTGCCACAACCCAAGCTCTTAGCATGTCGTGAGTGCTGCCATGAGTTGAATACCATGCGGATGACCTGCAACACAACGGCTGCGGTCGCAAAGCCCAAGACAAACGACAGAGCCATGATCTTGTTTCGAGAGTGATTTTCAGAGGATTCTAGGCAGAAATCAAGTGGTTTTATAATAATCACACGGCCTCGGGTCGAAGCATAAATGAGGAAAACCTCCGGGGCAAGGATTAGACATGATCGTCACAAAGCTAAAGGTCAAGAGCCAATCGCATTTGTGGTGGATGTCATTTTCGATCGGCACTCTGGCAATTTCAGCACCGATCTGGATCTCGGAGCTACTACTTGTGTCTTTGGTCCTCGTAGTCACCGTGTTATTCTCCACTGTTCTCCGAAAGGTCCTTCTCAGGAAAACCCGCGGGTTTTAGATTCCTCCGAATGTATCACCGGACGTTATGCGGTCCGGGAGCACGGAGAAGCCATGGAGGTCTGTGTGTCGAAATAAAATAACGGGTTTCCGTGTGACGTCGACGACGTGCACAACTTGGGATAATTCCATAACATCCCTGTCGATGATGTGCATAGCCTTGGAGTACTTTGTACTCCGTCGGTGACGGACAAACGAATATCTGCAAGGCTGGTGGAGAATCCCTGTCCGCGCATTAGCGTTGGCTTAAGGCCGAGGTTATTCCCGAGGATGAGTGATCAATTAATTGTAATCGACGTCAACCTCCAGGCTCCAGGCTCCAGGCTCCAGGGTTTGGATCTCGGTCCTCTCTGATCATCTGGACAATTCGACTGCAAGAGATATTCCAAATCAAAACCACAGGCACCCGTGATGGACACGCTATCGTCAAGATCCTACCTGGAACTGTCACAAGAACAGGAAACTCCAATAAACACCAGGTCTAGCCGGCTAAGACCCCGAACGAAAGCAGCCCAACCACCGGAGATTCCCGACCAAGCGACGGATACAAACTCGGCTGGTCCGGATCGTCCCGTGCGGAAGAGAGGCCGGCCGCGATCACAGGCCAAAGACGCCACTGCTATTGAGGTAGATCCAATGGGCCTGCGATAGAGACACCGTTGACCAGCTCCACAGGAACGCCGTCTGCAGATCCGACGGGCACAACGCACCTATCGTCTCAAAAAAGAGACTACCATCCAGACTCTCAGATCTCGCGTCAATGCACTAGAGCAGACACTAGAGAATGTATCAAATCTCCTAGGCGGAGCCCACCACGACGCAGTCGATCGCCTCAACGATGAACCGACACTCCAGCCAAGCGTGGACTATCTCGCTCGCACACGAGAACTCATTCTAGCAGAAATAAACAAGACCCGTCTCACCTCCGAAAACAACAATCTCCAACTCGAGCAGACCAACGCTCCATCGAGAGACAAGGCCATATTCGGCTACGAACTATCTCATACACGTCCCCAGAAGAACTCCATCATCTCCTCTTCATACCCAGCATGCAACCGAGCCCGCTCCCCATCCCCACTAATAAACCGCATCCTCCCAGCAACAACAATCTACACATACAGCCACCAAGAATCCAACCTCTCCCGCCGCCTGCACAGATTCAGCCTGGAGCACACCTACCGCTGGCTAACAGACCCGCGCACCGAGCCCGCGCTGCTAAGCCGCGTCTTCGGGCTCGTGCCCTGCATCCACGACATGGCCGGCATCCGCCGCCATTACCGACGCACGGTGCAATCCGAGATCGGGAGCGTGCTGGAATTCGCCAAGATGCCATTCTACACACTCGGCGGTGCGGGGAAACACTTCCCGCGCAGGGACGGGGACGGAAACCCCGTCGACCCGGAGAATAGCCGGAGACCTGGGAAAATCCTGCGGCGGATGGTGCGGATTTTGCAGCGGGGCGGGATCCAGGATTGGGATGAGGATTGGAGTGGGGAGAGGGAGCCTGTTGCTGCTACTTTGGAGGGAGGGGTGGTGCAGATGAGTGAGGAGGAGAGGATTCGCTCGTTGGATCTGGACGGGGAGTGGTTTGATTGCCATGATGTGCAGGGTTATCTGGAGCATCGGGGTCTTGTGCTTGATGGGTCGGCATTGAGGCTCAGTGTTCCGGAGAGTCTGGTTGGGGCTTTGTATGGCTTTTCGCCGGATCGGTCGACTGTTTCCAGTCTTTATGCTTCGTCTGGGATCTCTCCTGGTAATATGGAGTTTGAATCCTCGACCTCGTCGTCGTATACTCTGGATATTGAGTGTTTCTTTGACTGTGAGTTAACCGATATGTTTGCTGTGTCTTTTCAATATCACTGACCCGAACCCAGTACTTCTCGCAAACCTCCGAATCCTCGGCCGCGCACCCGGTTTCCGAGTATGGGACGTCGATGCGGCATTGCGATCAGCGGTCTCCCGTCGCCCCTTTACCTAGCCAACACACACGGACTAACAAGCGACCCATCCTTCCATGGATATAACGACTACACCACGAGCCATGACCAGAACGATCATCTACATATACCAAAGTCAAATCGAAATGTAAATCTGAAATTGAACTCCATAACTGGCATTGTTCTGGGGTATAGCGTAGAAAGATCCAGTAGAGCGCAAAAAAAGGGGGGGGGGAGTCCATCAAATCAAATCGCATCAAATCGCATCGCATCACATCAAAGACCGCCGAGGCCGCGCGCTTAAGGACCCAACAAGGCCGAATCCATCAACAGTGTTGTCACACGAGCGCATCGGCGGCCACATCCCGATCTCATCTTATTCCATCGTCTAGCAGCAAATCTCACAGCACTCGAAGCAAGCGAGACCGGCGCAGCTGGGTTAAGTTAGTTTGGAGTTTTGTTAGGAGGGATAGAGGAAGAGGAAACGTACAATCCGCAGCAGAGACCGCCACCACCGCGCAGCTGCATTTGTTCTTGGCTGGTCTAAGGCGATGTTAGTTTGTGTTTTTGGGATGGGTTTGTTTAGTTATGGGATATCAACATACAGGCTGTTCAGAGACGACGTTTTGGTTGGCTGAAGGGGGAGCAGGGCTGGTGGGCTGCATGGTGATGGTGTTGGGGTTCCAGCTTTCAGCGGTGGGCTCGTTGGCCGGGGCGGACTTGAAGAAGTTGAAGTTGAACATGTTTGTATTGGTGGTATGTGTGTGTATGGGTATGGGTATGGGTATGAGTATGTTGTATGGTTGTACGTTGGAGGTAGCGTGTATTCAGAGTGAAGGTATACAAAGGTAGAGATAGAAAAGAGAAAAAGAGAAAAGCGAGAAAAGGACGCTATATGTAGTTTTCCAATAATGTGGAGGATCGGCCAAAATTGAAACAACGAACTAGCGCCCGTGGAGATTAAGGACACGCTTACGCACTATCCCAGGTTACGGTGTATCCGTGGACACGTTACTAAGTATAGGAACGAATAACGGTGTTGCCTGTGCGGTGAGGCTTAGGAGTTAGGACAAAACCCGGGAGTACACTCGGTGTCTAGACTCTACAACATACGTACTCCATGTTTCCCCTTCTTTTATTCCACTAACTGTGGCTATGTAGGCTACGAGGCACACGTATGGATTGCACAGCCTCGTTCTCCAGGAAAAGGCTGGCAAAGTCGCCTTCAGCCCTGTCGGGTTGCCAAGGGCTTGGCACACGGCTTGTATGGAACAAGTACTCGTATTGTGACAGCTGACATACCAAGCCCTGAGGATGCAGGAGATGACCTCATTGCGCATATCGAAGGGAGATGTAGAATAAAAGCCTCAAAATATAGAAAAATACCTAGTATCACAGTTGTATCACAGTTGTATCACAGTTTCGAGAAGATTCCGTCTGGCTGCAAAACAGAAAGATAGCATTTTTGGATTTCGCTGATCGTTCGGCACCTGCTTCCGATTAATTTTTATTAATTTGATACCAGACCAATAATCACTTACCCGGCTAATGCCATGGTGATCCTTAGTTCTTGGCGGAGAATCCGAATCGCCAATTCGACACCTTCTTGTCCGTTATACTGTATGGGTCAGCAGACAGAACAATAAACAAACACAGAACACACATACAGCCAGCCCCCAGATCGGGATCCTTCCTATAAAACAGAAGCTAGCCCCTAATGCTAGCGCCTTGAAGATATCCGAGCCGCGTCGGATGCCCCCATCCACCGCAATCGGTATTCGGTCCTTGGCTACCGGGGCACAGGCCCGCAGTGCATCCACCGTCGACGGCATGCCGTCTAGTTGCCGGCCACCGTGGTTCGAAATGACAACGCCGTCGATGCCATATTTGATGGCCAGTTCTATATCTTCGGGAGATGTTACTGCCAATCATTAGTGAACTGTGAGCCCCTTTACTTGATCACTCCACACAAACATACCACCCTTAAGCCAGATCTTCAGAGATGTATGCTGTCTCAACCAAGGAATCGCGTTATCCCAGTCCAAACCGGGGTCTGCATAACATCAGCATCCCCTATCCCTCACACTAACTCCACATCAGCTTCGCAATACATACCATACTCGGTACGATCCGAGTGATCCCCTCCGTGGCTAAGCACATTCGGCCACGACATATCGTCCGGGATAGTATACTCATTCCGGTATTCATTGATGCGCTTGCCTAACACGGGTACATCAACCGACAGGAATAGCGCCTTGTACCCCGCCTCTGAAAAGGATATTAGTACAGTCTATGTAGCCAACCATGAAAAAAAGCATCCAAGATACATACTCTCCGCCCGCTCTAGCAACTGCACCGTAATCGCCCGATCCCGCAGTACACACATCTGCATCACATACGGATTGCCGGTGCCCTGAGCGGCGACATCCTCGAGTGGATAATTCGAGTACGAGGACAGGCCCATGCAGAGACCGTATTTTGCGGCTGCGCGCGAGGTCGCGAGCTCGCCGTCTGGGTGCGCAAGTTTCATTGATGCGGCGGGGCTGAAGCCGAATGGGAGTGAGACCTGTTTGATTGTCGGAGTTGGCACTGGTGTTTTCGTTTCTGTTGAAATGGAATATAACATACCTTGCTGCCGAGGATTTCGGTGGTTGTGTCGATTTTATCGACGTTGATTAAGATCCGGGGGCGGATCTTGTAGCGGTCGTAGGCTGCTTCGTTCTCGTTCAGACTAGACATACGTCAGGGAGATGGATTGGATTCTGCGCTTCGAGGTTCCATACGTGATTAGATCCATGGCTCCTCCGTTGTAGTAGTCTATCGACATCAGCACTGGCACAATGAATCAACGTCGGAAACTATTCATTGGTACTCACCTCTGACCATCGGAGACAGCCGACTACTCCCCATTTGCTTCAGGTCGGCAATGCAGCATACATCTTTGTGAAGGGTCTCCCCGCGGTGAGCCATTGTACCGTATGTATTAGGATGTGGTTATAGAATTTGGATAAGAAGAATGGATAGAGCAAGGCGACGACGGCACAGTTCAAATATGAAGGATTCCCAATGGTCTCTCCCCTTCCGAGGTCATCCCTTTTCCGGATTGAGATGTGCATAAGGAGTCTCTATTTGCTATATGTTGCAGAGTTGGTTTCCTATCACGGACGATCATCGGAGTCGCTTGCCGAATTGACATTCCTCAGACAGTGTCACGGGTTACTGTTTAGTCGCACAGCGCTTTTATCAAATGCTAACGACTTATACAACCGACATCAGCGCCATTCATACAAGAGCGTCGGGAAGATTGCGCATGCGCTAGCCAAACGTGCTGAGTCCAAGTCTGGTAAGGAAAGGCTCTACAAAAAGAGAGTCAGAGTTGCTTATACGGCTCAGGATACTGTGTTCTAGGTATCTAGAGCGAGCGTTGTGTGTATTTTGGACGGCCACTTCTGATCTGAACGTGTATACCAAGTCCACGACATCATCCACTGCAGGTGCGAAACAAACGGGTTGACAGCTGTATTCCCAAGTTGACCGGCCCAATCTGATTTGGCTGTCCCACTGATGCTTTATGGCAAACAACGAGATGATCTGATTGGAATTGTTGTCAAAAGAAAGACAAGAGCAGGTGACTCCGAGGAGATAGCCCGATAAGAGATCCCATTTAGGAAGGCGCTTCCGATTTTGGCGGGGTTGGCCGTAACTTCGACTTCCCAACCTCTAATATGGAAATGAATCCGCAATAAGCTCTTTTAATTGAATATATTTATCAAGTCTTCAAAAATGGTGACATCTAAACGACCAAGACCTCGCCGATCTCATGCGCTAGGAGGATGCAGCACCTGCAGACGCCGGCATGTCAAATGCGACCAGAAACGGCCCGTTTGTCGTACCTGCCGGGCCTTGGGTGTGAAATGCGAGGGATATTCCGATCAGGTACTGTGGATGCGCACTGATAGCGGCGAGGAGGCTGAGAGTACTCGTGGGACTCGCCGGTATCTTTATTCAGGTACATGGCCTTGACGGTATGGAACAAATTGGACTGATATTAACATGTTTTAGAGCAATCTAGAGTTTCTATGAGCACTGCGCTTGGGTCCGATCTTATATCAGGCTCTATTGACGCATCATTGGCAGAAGTGGACTCGAGACTGCGAGACCCTGAACGGTCGCTCGACGGTGACATTGTCATTGGACCCTTTGCGGTTCTTGATTTCTCTTCGGCACCACAAAAGCCGCAGGAATCGGTGCATGAAATTGAGCCCGTGAAGTCTGATATAAATTTTGCAGTTGAGGCCGAAACTATGGCTCCTGAGGAACTGCAAGAGCCTAGTCCACTTGATTCTCTGTCTCAGATTGATGACTTCCTCCATTGGTCTGATCTATTGAGCTTTGAACTAGGCCAGACGGAGTTTGCAGCAAACGGTGCTTTGAGTACGCCGAATGATTTATCATTTGATATGAGCCACGAGATGGGACTGCCCGCTGACTTAAATCACACCGATGAGCTGCAGACTTTCACAACACAATACGCACCAGCTGAGCTTATTTCTACTGATATAGATGCGCTGAAAGATGCTCCGTGCTTGCTTAAACATTTCCAGGATATTGTGATTCCACACATAATGGCCATTCCCTGTCGGCAAAAGTCGCCTTGGAAGACTTTGAACGTGCCGGCAGCGGTGGTTACATACAGTGACTCGACCTTTCTTGGGACTGAAAGGATCAGTCATGCCAAACTTGCAAATTTGTATGGCTTGCTCGCCTGCTCTGCTATTCACCTTGTTTTAAACCCCGCGGCAATATCGACAAAGCCGCCTGGGTATTGGTGGAAGGTTGCCACCCAGGCGTATCTGCAAGCCAAGGACCATATGCAAACCTCTCTGCATTCAGAAACCCAGGGTTTGAAGAAAGCAAAATATAAAGACCAGCTGATGGCTGCATTCATTCTCATACAGTACACCGTGGGTTTTCAATTTGACATCAATTGAATGACTCTGACTTTCACAGATCATGTCCGGCCAACAACAACACGCCCGGT